ATTGATGGAAACGTAACTTGACTTTATTTCCAATACCTCCAAATTTTCTCAATTTTTTTCCTCAATTAAAATAGGTCGAAAATTGATGATAAAGGAGGAGGGAAGTTAGTGCAACAGATTTTGGACAGTCATATGTTTGATTTTGGCCATTTCCTGGGGATTTAAACAGGTGCATATGTTAGGCGAATGCATTACCTCTAGGAAAATCACTTCTAGAGATGATAAAATAATTTCTACTTTGAGACCGGGTAGATGCAAACAACCCACCCACATGTTTTTTCTGAAACGTTTTCCTGATTTTCAACCCCTTCCATCCCTGCTTTTTTAATTTTTTTGCATCAATATGTTGCATTTTGACACACATATAATCCCTTAAAAGGAATAAATGATTCCTTTTAGATAAAGTGGAAAACAATATTTCCCATGTTATTTTCCAATAGGAAAAATCATTGCTTTCAGCTAAATTTGGTCACCCATAATGGGTATCTTTAAAACCCCTGAAGGGATCACTTATTCCTTTAAAAGTGGTTAACTATGTGTCAAAATGCAACATATTGATGCAAGAAAAATTGAAAAAGCAGGGGTGGAAGGGGTCGAAAATTAGGAAAACATTTCAGAAAAAACATGTGGGTGGGTTGTTTGCATCTACCCTGTCTCAAAATTGAAATTATTTTATCATCTCTAGAAGTGATTTTCCTGGAGGTAATGCATTGGCCTAACATATGCAATTGTTTAAATCCTCAGAAAATGGCCAAAATCCAAAATATGACTGTCCAAAATCTGTTGCGCTAATTTCCCTCCTCCTTTGATGAATTTTTGAAAATCGTCATTCTCATGTAATCCAATGGGAAATGGAGGGTTCGGGGCAATTCAGAAATCAGGATATCCTTTCAGTAAAAGATTCAGCAAAAAATATTTTTATATAGAAAATTGAATTATCTAACTTTTTTGAACACTAAATGTTTAGTTTATTTGATGAATATTAAAGTTACAGCGCTTCGAAGTCATTTTTGAAAATCATTTTTCGTCTCCTGTGTTATTTCAATGGGAGAGGATTTTTGAAAAACAATTTTGACTTTAAAGCCCTATAACTTTGTTAAACCTGAAGAAACATATCAATTGTTTGTTAAATAAAGTTAGCAAATTCAATTACCTGTCTAACTCGTATTTTTTCCAAGGACTCGGATGGATGGATATTCTGTCATATGACTTGCGGCAAACCTACCATTTCCCATTGGTTAACATGGGAATGTCGATTTTCAAAAATTCATCAAATTCATCAATTTTCGACCTATTGTAATTGAGGAAAAAAATTGAGAAAATTTTGAGGTATTGGAATTAAAGTCAAATTACGTTTCCATCAATAGTATAAGTATTTTCATCGCAGGTTAAGTAAATAAAAATTCAAAGGCAAAGAGGCTTTAACACGTAGTTCAATGGGGGGAAAAGGTTGCCAAACTTATGGAGGGGAGTGTAAGAATGTTACCCCTATACATTCTCTATAATTAAGTCGTTGGGGAGTTCGGATGTTTTTCAAGTTCAAGTTTATGCTCAATCCAGATAACATCTTCTTTCACAACGGGAAACACTATTTTGTAAGCACTACTAAGAAAGAATACTTTATGTGTTATCCATAAGTAATAACCACGACTAACTACTAATTCTCAGATTCAGATTCAGATATTTATTACTATTTTGAAAAACATACATGACATTCAATACAACATGACGCTCACAAGAGCATATACAAGGGGCGATCCATATATTCTGATAAAAATGCTCTCATTTTGTGATTTTTTCATATATCCCTCTCATTTTTTCAGAAAATGTAGACTATGTAATTACACATACAATGCTAAAATATTATAGCTATATCTTAAATTATCATTGAGATAAGGCTGCCATGGTAACCTGTATTAAGGGTAGGCAGGTCAATTTAATTATAACATATAAATATCAAAATAACTTGTTATTTTAATTATTTTAAAGCATGCGGAAATCATGCATTCTTTCTAAAAAAGTTTGGTATTGTTAGTCGTTATTTGTTGCTAAACAAATGTTTATATGTGCTCACTATAACATCACAACAAATCACAATAGCATTGTAGGACAGAATGGGCCAATATTGACATTACATGTTATGAGACACACCAAAAATCAAATTGTCAGATTAGGTTAATGTGGCTGATGCAGAGTGTCACATTAACGGATACATTAAGGAATACCATTAGATTTGATTTTCTTACAAGAATAAGTAAGAGGACACTTTCAGAGACATACATGGACTCTGCATTGCATGGGCAAGGTGTTATATCTGCATAAAGAATATATAGGTAGTTTAGTATTGTAAAGAGGAAAGCATGGTCACTGTTGAAGATCATCCGCAATCTGATTGCAAGAAGAGCTTGCGGACAGAGAATAACACTACGATAAATTGAGATGTTACTTATGAAAAGATAGCTATCCCACTGTATAAATTATCAAACAAGGGCAACAGGGGTATGGAACAGATAAATGAATAGTTGACAATGACTGGAAGATGCGTTTGATCTGCTTAAAATAGGTACCGAGGAATGATTAAATTAACATATTTATCTATTTTAGACGTTATACTTTAACTGACCTGCCTACCCTAAATACAGGTTACCATGGCAACCTTATTTCAAAATTAATTTAAGATACAGCTAAAATATTTTAGCATCGTATGTATAATTATATAATCTACATGTTCTGAAAAAATGAAAGGGATATATGAAAAAATCACAAAATGAGAGCATTTTTATCAGAATATATGGATCGCCCCTTGTATATGTTGGTTTTAACTGGACAGAAATGGGTCAGTGACGCCAACAGGTAAGACAAAATAAAAATGGAGTGGAGAAATCCCTGAGAATGACACTGGCCCAAGTCTGTTTGAAATCATTTCAAAAATGTAAAAATATTAACACTCGGGGACAGAGACACAGGGCATGAGAACGGGTAATTGCTGCTAAGTTTATAATATTTATATATATAAGTTGATAAGACAAAATGTGGCAGAGTACAGATTTTCAATTGGTAAAGACATTTTCAAATCTTTAAAATTATAAAGGTATGTCATCTATTTTATTTTGTTTGAACACAGACTTAAAAATTGAGAGTGAGGCTACTTGTCGAATATGATGAGATATAGAATTCCAGATTTGCTGACCTTGAACTTTCAGTGAATAAAGGCCAATATTTGTTTTGAACTTGAAGGCATGGATATCATGTGAATGTCTAGTTTCATATCGATGAATGTCAACATTTAACGTAAAATAGTTTTCAAAAATCTTGCGGTGGACTGATATATTGTTATACCAGCAATAAACAAAAATTCCAACATTTAATTGATAGATATCATGCATTGGTAGTATTTTAAATTGTTTGAATAGTGGAGCTGAGTGCTCAAACCTGTCTTTTCCTGCCATAAGACGAAGGTATAATTTTTGTAATTTGAGCAGTTTATCCAAAGCTGAATATGCTCCGGCCCAAATGATTGTGCAATAATTCAAGTAGGAGTATATTAAAGAACTATAAATTGCTAACATACTTTTTATGTTTAGCAAGTATCTGCATTTGAATGAGATTCCAATGGTTCTAGATATTTTTCTTTCTACATTTTTTATGTGACTTTTCCAGTCAAGGAATTCATCAATTGTTACTCCCAAAAAAATTATTTCATGAACCCTATCAATTTGTTTTCCATTTATGAATATTTCAATTTGTTGACAAACCTTTTTTCGTTTTTTGGAGAAGACGATGAATTTTGTTTTTGAATAGTTTAAAGAAAGGAGGTTTGCATTAAACCAGTCATCAAGAGTAATGAGTTCCTGATTGACAGTATTTACAAGTCTAGTTAAATTATGGTCAGAAGCTAGAAGATTAGTGTCATCTGCAAATAAAACAGATTTGAGACTTTGTGACGCCGTGAACAGGTCATTAACATAAATTGTGAATAAAAGTGGTCCCAAAACGGATCCCTGAGGGACTCCCTGGGAAACAGTTTGGGTGTCAGACAGGGCACCATCATAAGAAACAATTTGTTTACGATTTTGAAGATAGCTTTTGAAAAAGTTTTGTTCAACTTAGAAGTCAAGTTTTTTATGAGAATATCGTGGTTGATAATGTCGAACGCTTTTGACAGGTCAAAGAAGATTCCAATGGAGTATTTATAATTTTCAAGAGCTATCTGGAATAAAAAGTTCACTCTATTGAGAGATAGATAGAGCTTATCCTCGGACCAGTTACGTCTTATCCGTGTGTCATATGACTACTGTGTTAATTAACTAAGTAAAGTATTCCAATTAAAAAGTGTTGTATGTTTGCATGCAGCAAGCGTTTAATAATTCTTCGCATATATAATATTGTCCATAAAAGAGTCTGATATATAATATTGTCCATAAAAGATCGGTCTGATAATTACAAGTAACTCATGTTTATTTTAAAACTATTCTTTACGAATTCATGATAAGTGTATAATGTTCAATCATACAAATCGCAGTCAGTGATTGTTCTCCACACTCACCCCTCCCCCTTCCTGACATGAACTATTTTGTAAAACCATTGACAGTGTGGAAAGGATTCTTACACTCGAGTGTCAAGGGGGGGGGGGGCAGTTATAGAAATATACAAGGCGATGGTTCAAATTGGACAATTTTCAAAACTGCTCAACATGGTGAAAACTTCACGTTTTTAAAGAATGCTTGCCCGGCGAGTGGTTTGCTCTGGATTGCGAGAGAACAAAAACTTTGAATTAGGACTTTTCCTAATACTATCATTAATCTAAAAAACTTTTTAAACCGTCTCTGATTACATATCATGCCAATCAATACCATTATTGTGTTGACAGGATTGAATATGATATCTATGGAATTATAATTTAATGAACTCAATAGTCTAAATGATAATAAGTTCATAATTTAGTCTTGACTGACTAGTCTTGCGTCAAAAACCTCCCTAAATCAAATATTAAAATTTACAAATTTACTAGTGTACGGGGTGGGGAAACAAGTCTCCATCCAACCACTAAAGTTTAAAAGGAAGACTATAGTGTCCCGTGAATTCATTATAATTATCTTAGACAATAGTGAAGCGGTACAATCATGGGAGAGTTAATTAATCGGAATGCAAGTTTGATTTAAAATAACTCCTTTGGATCAAATATTTAAATTCTACTAGAATGCGGGGAGTGGAAACAAGTCTCCATTCCAGCACTAAATATCAAAAGAAAGATTTCAGTACCCCTTAACTTTACTCCCGGACTTCACTATTCACCACCACCCCTCCCCCTTCCCCAAGTATCCCTTATGACCCCAGAATGTTCGTTTCTGTGCCCCCCCCCCCTGTCCATGGCCAGTAAGTAATCTATGTGTATATTGGCTCCCTCCCAAAGGTGGGAAAACCAGATGCAGGCATAGACATTGACAAGGTGAGGGGATTTAAATATAAAAATAGTCTTTTTTTTGGCTCCGACTTATATATTTTGGCTGTTTAACGAAGCCGGTTTAAGGAATGAGAGGCAGAAATAATTCCTAGAAATAAGATGGCCTCATCGCGATAGCCGCGACCCCTTTGTCTTTATCCTTCCACAATCGGCAGATAAGAGTGGCTCTGGCATACCAGAATGAGATGGCCTGTCTTTACTGTAATCAAGATGGTACGCAGTTATTTTGGTTTTATAACGGGGATCACTCGGCAAAATCGGTAATATTGTAGGTTTCTACACGCCTCTTATTTGCCCCTATAAGGGGTTTTAAACGGGTGTAACCTAATATCATATTAGCCGAATAGCCGGGTATCTTATTCGGGAAAAAAATATATTCTACTATATCCTGTTATCTTCGGCAAATAATAATATTATATGCCAAATAATAAACCTAGCTCAGCGAATAAAATAAATTATTCATCAAGAAATGTTCAATCAAAAGCGGATATACGCGGATATTCTTGGACCAAAGTCTTATGTAAACAGATAAACAACGTCTAGATCTGCCCTGTGTTTATGATTGGCGCGACGATATAATTGCCTCTGTGTGTATATAACATGACATGTCTCTGCCTAGTACATTCGCATTATTTTTAATTCACATATTTATAAAATTTATTTTCGATTTTTTTAAAAGGAATGTTTGTTTTGCTGAAATTATAGCACAACTGTAGAAGGTTAATGGGGATGAATGAAAGATGCGACGATTTGCAAAACATAAATGTAAAATTGCTCATCGCATAATTTAAATAAAACGATCGAATATCCTTTGGCAAACACTCGATTTTACAACGTAAGTAAAATGAATGTGTATAATGGAAAGATTGCGATTTTTTATTTCATTACTTTCGATATATGGGAATCACGGTCTTGTCAAAATCAGTTATGCTGGTTGTTCATCCTATTATTCATTAAATAGAAAAAAATAAAAACAAATGTGAATGAAATAAAACGAATGTCTATTTCGTTAACAATGAGTGAACCAGCATCTATTTCATTTAAAAGCACGATAAACCATGCACTTTCATCAAATTGCCGCGTTCAAAACAAATGGCCTAACAATTAGCAATCACAAGATCAAAAATATCTATCTACATATCCCATTCAACCATTCATTCAATCAATCCATTTTAACACATTTTAACTACATGTAGATATTCATAATTTAAATTCTCTTTTTAAAGAAAGGGTGGCCCTGAAAAGGGCCGTTGACAGACGTGTTGCTTGCGTTCTTAGCTGCTCGGAGAAATAGGATCCACTTGGTGACTACTTGGGGGACTGAAAAGGACTGGTTTAGCCCTGAAAAGGGCTGTGGACGATTCGTTACCCAAAGTATACGATTATGTGCTTAATGAAAGCAAAAGAAATTTCCGAAAATATACGCATATGATACTACAACTACTTATTGACAGTTTATCGTAACTTTTTGCAAATATGGATGTTTATACTGCTTGTATCTTATTCTAGGGAGTTTTATGTAGACGGGACTTCCTCTTCACAATGTAATTATATATTTTCTGTTTTGTAGGTTCCCGTGGGTAAGATACCAACAAGAACAATACGGCCCATCCTAAAGGGCACAGACCCATCAGTGGCGTTCTTCAAGTTATAGCCCATGGAGATATAGTTTGTGAATCTTGCCTACACAGCTGCTCAATACAAGTGCAAACTACGAAATAATAACCCTAATATAATATAGATAAATGTTTGGCATGCATTGTGTTTTTGTTTCATTGTTAAATTATTTGATAACTTATAATAAGCAGATAAGTTGCTTTTCAGGTATTAAGCGGCGATGTAGGACTGAAAACCCGGGACTGAAAACCAGCGTCACACATGTACATTTTCTCGGATATTCCTCCCACGTGCTCCATAAGCAGATATACATACGTTTGCATGTTTTAATTTTGATTTGATTTGATTTTTTGAATTACACGAATTAGATAAAGTCTTTCAAATGTCACCAGTCTTTGGGGGTGAGATTTCATGTAGGAATATTAGAATTAGAATAAGATTTATTACGACTGTACGATCTGTTTTGTTTGCATCGTTCATTGTATAACGTTGATATAACACAAGGGCAGCATTGGAATTACAGAATTGTGCGATTCCCTACCTCCCATTCATAGATTTAGTCTCTGGCCATGGTATTCAAAATTATATTTGTTCTGTCATTCTGATTTCCCGTGTCGGGACATTCTGACCTATAGGAGTCTCACTTTATCTAACCCTTTGGTATTCCAAAGGATAAAACTTGCTGTGGATCACACAATGGTGTCGGGAGATTAAACCAGTCAGTGAATGTTCCGATCGTCGCAACATTCGAAACACCGAGAGATTTAACGGATTCATACATGCATACTGTACATTGTATATTCAGCACAGTATGCATGTACATTCCATATATCCTTCTAATAATAATTGCTGCATGTGTAAACCTGTGAAACCTCTCGGTCCATCGGATGTTGTGACGATCGGAACATTTTAATCTCCCGATACTGGAAAAAAGATTTCAAACACATGTTTCATTAAATAGGAGTCCATGCGTCCTGAGCCTTATGTGACTGGCAAATAAAATCAGCACGGAAAGTGCATCCTTGAATTCCGAGGTTGGGTAGTAAACTTTCCCCTTTAATTCAGATAGAATTATCTATCATATCTGTTTTCCTGTTAAGAATCACGATTCCGGATAAAGAATGTGGGGAATTTTCATACTTTATCTTTCCGTTCTTAATATATTGTATAATACATTTGTATTCTGTTTTGCGGGTTCCCATTGAAATTGGTTACAACACAGGCAATATATCGCAGGTTAAATGAGTGTTCAACAATTAAACACGGCGGTCTTCATTTTATAGTTTATGAAAATTGCCTCAAGTACAATGTCAAAATCTCATGATGATTTCTTCCGACCTATGTTTACTGAGAAGAGGCGAGAGAGGGGTACGCAGTTGCTTGAAGCAAGCATAAACTATGAAAAATCCATAGTCCGACAATTAATTAATTGGCACGAATCTGTTTATTGTTATTGTTACTTGATTAGACGGATTTTCAGATATTATCTGCATTGAGATGGCTGATTATAAGGCATGAATATTTTTTCCAGTTATGTTAATTGTTATTTTATATGTTTGAAATATTTATTAATCCATCCATTTTTTTTTGATGAACTTTTCAAAGCGACTTTTGGTTTCATCTCTGTGTTTTATTTATAATAGTTTTTAACAGAGATATGACTAGCCTATTTATAAGGAATTCCATATAGCCTATAATTGATTTTAATTCATAAACTTTGCTGATAATTGATTTAAGTGTAGAAATGGCAACGCTCCCGAAGAGTGCATGTGTGCCTGGCTGGATCGCCAATAGAATTGCATGCTTTGTTTTGTTTTGATAGTTAGTTTAGAACTTTTGTCACGTGAAGTATTCAATCCATATACGCAAACGTGCGTGTACTTTGTAGGGCTTTGAAGTCTCTGGTAACATTAATTTGTAGGGTTTCGAAGCCATTTCCACCTCCTCCGGTATTCTTGCTATGGGAGAGGTTTTTCAAAAATAATTATAAACTTTTGAGACCTTTGGGGGTATAGGATACGCTAGATCATGGGCTTTCAACTGAAAGCCCATGGCTAGATCAAGTCACATATCCTTATATATTTAGTTTTTTTCCTGAAGGATAAGAAAATAAAAATTCAAACATAGAGAGGCAAAGACGTGAAAATGTGGGAAGTTTTAATATTTAATTTATGCTTTTCTTTCATTCAAATGGCGACCCTCGAATATAATTGCAATCGACTTCCATTGCATTCGAATATTTATACACGTATGGATGTGGGTTAGAATAAAACATTAAATCACTTTTGAGATTGAGAATATTAGTCATGTGATATTCTATCTGTAATTTTTAACTTTATTTATTTTTAATTGTTATTACCATACTGATATTATTTTTTTGTTTCCTTTTGTTATCGTACCTAAAAAAGGTGCGATATTGTCGTCAGCTTGGCGGGCGGGTGGCGGGTGGCGGGCGGCGGGCGGCGGGCGGCGTTTCACTTTTCACTACAGGAATCGATGCAACAAATGTTTCTGATTTCGAATGTATTGCAACCATTTTTTCGAAATATTAATTTGTTGTATATATCTTAATGTCACTGAGGATCCTTTTTATGTTACGACCGTAATAAGTGACCTATTGTTATAGTTTTCAACTTTTTGTGGGCGGTGTTCGTTTGGTGGTCAGCTTCTGTAACAAATGGTAGGTTGTACCTTGTTTGTTTTGTAAACATCAAAACACCACTAGGCATTGGACAATGGAGAGTTCTCATTTATTAACGGTGATTCAAATTCGGTCATCATATACACCCTTGGTATACGCAGCTAACGAAAATTGACCGGTACGGGTCAAAAGCTGGACCGATACGGGTTAACGGTTTTATTTGAATTTAAAACAGCCATAACTTGCTCAATATTGACTTCCTCGTGTCTAATTTGAAATATATGA